CTCTCAGTCACACTATCAGCAGACTTTGAAACATTATCAAGGCTGCCGATCGATAGCACCCGTCGAAGCCTCGAGCTTTTGCTCTCCCCCCTTATATGTTTCTTGCTCGAAGGAACCGCCGTCGTGGGAGGACCATTGATATGCGTAGTACCATTTGAACTGGCTGTTGTGTCGACCGATGGCCTCGTGGGTTTGGCTAGCGGGGAGGAGGTGTAGTTTCTTCTGGCGCCATGCAACGGGGCATCTTTCGTGTCCGCCGGGCCGGAGGAGGCTTGGCTTGTGGCAGACTGTATATCTTGGTTAGCAAACAGTGGACTGCTCACACGAGAAGATGGGATACGCACGGATGGTCGCGAGTAGCTACTCCGGGTGGAGATCGCGCTATCGAAACTATCATGGCGGGAGTGGTTCGGCGAGGAGGACTTGACGAGATTCTGGAACTCTTTTTCCAAAGCCATGAAGTGGGCTTGCGACTGCTGTAGGTTCTGGCGAGGAATCACGCCCGGCACCCACTCAGGGCCCCGAGTAGTTTGCTGAGCTGGCTGTCTCGGGGATTTTTGCTGTAGATACACGCCGTTTGATCTTTGATCCATGGTGGATGGGGTGGTGGTGTGGAAGCTGGCCGGTCGGGCTGGGGGCCCGCTCACGGAGATCGAGGGGACTCTCGGCCTTTGGGAGCTGCCGACTGCATATCCCGATGAGGATGGGACAATGGCACTGTGGGATCGGGTGTGACCTGGCCCGGGTCGTGGCCGGTCTCTAGGCAAGCGTTGCTGGCTGGTCCGAGGGGATTGGTAGTCGAGCCTGGCTGGAGACGCAGGACGGAAGCCAGGCGCTGGTGAAGGCCCTCGCCATCGCGGGCCGCCCTGGTTCGCTTCAGGCGGCGGTCTGCTGGGCCCATATTGCTGTACTGGAGAAGTGACGCCGCGGTAGTTCGTGGTGACGGGGCTGCCTCGGCGAGCAGGCCCTGACTGAGGTACCGACATCGGAACAGAGTATTGTCACGGCTGAGGTTGAACGATGGCGATGCCTGCCTCGAGAGGCTTCGCTGCTGCCCTCAAATGAGGTGATGGATGATGGAGAAACACCAGACTCGATGCTTGAGGTGGCTGAGAACTGTGGCTCGCGTGACTCGTAGAGATTGAAGGCCCGCAGGCCGGTTCACAAGATGCGAACGGGGAGAAATCTACCCTGAGAAAAAGGACGAAGACATAGCTCTTCCGACCATGCCTTTGGGGTCTTTGTATTAATTCACTTGAGGGCCGCCAGCCACCTGAAGAACCATGGAATTGTTACAAAGGAAATGATGTTTGCACGGACGGACCGACAGCTGTACAGTGACACGGGGGTTATGTGTTGTCAGGTGGGTACGTATGTAGCACAAAGGACACTCGAAGAAACAGCAGGAATAATGAGAGTCCGAACACAAGAAAAGAATGAATAAAAGAGCAGAATGGTTCAAAGGTGCTAGACTGAGGATGTGAAGAAAGAGTGCCAAGCAGAATGACGGAAAAAAGAAGAATAGGTCATCCGACTGTTGGGCGAAGCCGAGATGATCTGTGAAATGCGATACGAGCTGCCACAATGTCTTGCAGCTGCAATACGAGGCCTCCTTGGATCTATCTGGCTAGAGAGCCCCCACCCAGCCCAGGAGGTGCATTATTCATGGGTCGTCGTTCATAATTCATGGCCGTATTTATCGGCTCCCATAGCCGGTGCCCTGCGTCCTTTTCTCCGCAGAGACTTGGGGAGAGTAGTATTATCTTTATTTTGATTTATTTATTCGATTTCACTGCCCCCTCTATTCCATTCATGTCCTAACCTGTCCAGCGTCGCGGAGTAAGCGCGTCATGCTCACTCAGATTCACTAACCCGCCCGGACATAATTAGATGGACCCCTGGTGCCTGTCTCCTGTCACTCTTTGCTGGCTGTCGTAAAGCCGTCCCACTACCCACATGAGCAAAAGTCCACCTATTATACGGCCAAAAGCTCGTCCCGTGTGGCATGAAAACTGTCTCTCGGACCCATTTGGAAGCCCACTCGAGCATAAATCTGGTCCATGCTCGACCGCATTACTTAGTGCGGCAAATGGTTAATATGTGGATATTGATATAATAATCCGCGTTCCTTAATGTTGGGGGGGAAAGGTGGTCATTCTGGCTGATCTCCCCCCCTGGTTCTATTCATGTTCTAATCTACAAGGAGAAAAACAAAGGAGATTATTGATCTGCGCAACGGATTCTCAAGAATCATGGTTATATCCCTGGCGTATACATATGTTCCATCCTCAGGCATGGTTCTTTTCCGACTTCGTCTCGTCGGGCTTTGTCTTTGGCTGTTCCCCTGTCTGCTCTAGCTGAGGTGTCGCGGCTTGTCGATCAGTCTCGGGCTTTTTGACACTGACCCATTCCATAGTCAAGCCACCGAAAATGGTGAGACACGAAAGTATAACACAGATGAGGAAACAGCGCCGAATGGCGTCGTTATACGCAGCAAGGATAGCTAGTGCCGATGCATCGCCGTACTGTGCTGTGACGGCTGCTTTCAATCCAGACGCTCCATGCTTCAACACTGTCGTTGGGTCAATATCAGGCACTTTTTGAGAGAGCCGCTCAACAAGCCGGCTTTGGAAAACGTTTTGTCCCACGGCAAGGAAGATTGCCCCTCCAAGGGTCTGGGAGAGGAGGACGGCAGAAGTACCAAGAGGTATATCGCGACCCTTGAGCACGGTTTGGCAAGCCGTAACTGGCTGCTGCTGGCCTATTCCCGAACCGAACCCGAACATGACCAATGTACCTGCCCTAAGTAGGCAATGTAAGAAAGGAGTCCATGCCAGGAGGGCAAATCCGCTTACCAATACGCTGTTGTAGTGTCCAAATTATAACGGTAAATCAGCCCGAGTGCAATGGACACGATGACTGTAGAGCAGAGCATCTGGGGGACATAATATCCTATCCTCGATGTCTAAGAAGAAAATTGCAGGTTAGCATTCAGAAACACACGTTCATCGACTAAGATGACAGGGAATGTTTTGATCCTTTCTTACCACCTGGCCTGTCAATATGACTGACACTACCATGGCAATGGAAGCGGCGAGGAAATTGATCCCAGACTGCTCGGCATTAGTGTCTTTGACCACTTGAAACCATATAGGTATATAGTAGATGATCAGGGACCGCAAAGCGCCATGACTAAACGAGAACCACACGCCACTCGCAATGGATCTTTGCTTTATTATGCGCACCGGCAACGTCGCCTGATCTCCACGAGAGTACTGAACATAGCACCAAAGTATAAAGGTGACGCCAAAGACGCTCAAGCAGAGGATGACCCGCCAGTTACTCCAAGGCAGGGTGGTCCCACCCCATTGGAGGGCAAGATTGAGGCAGACCATGAACGGCATAAGCAGGACTGTGCCCATGACGTCCAACTTGGAGAAAAACGATCTGACACGACTGGTTTGGCCATCCGGTTGGCTTCCTTCTTCTGTAGCTGGTCGGTCAGGCATTTTAACGAGGAATAGAACCACCGCGGCTGTCACAGCCCCAAGGGGCAGGTTGATCCAGAAGCACCAGCGCCACGTTGCACGATCCGTGAAGATGCCTCCCAGAGTGGGAGCTATAATCTGGGCCACGCCACTTGCCGCGCTGAAGATGCCTGCGTATTTAGGTCGTTTGTGTAGAGGCAGGCTGACCGTCAGAATGACCACTCCTCCGCAAAGGACACCCGCGCACCCGATACCTGCAATTGCTCTCCCAATGATGAGTGTAATGGAGTTTGGCGCCGCGGCGCAAAATATAGAGCCAACTTCGAACGAGCCCAGGGCGCAGAGGAAGACTGTTTTGATATGGAACGTAGCGTAGAGTTTGCCAAACATGAGCTGGAAGCAGCATATTGTAATCAAGTACGCTGAACCGTACCACGATATGTCGTTGAGGGAGTTGAACTCGGTCGTGATTTTGGGTATTGCGGTAGCGAGAATCGAACGGTCCTAGATGCTATTTGTCAATCCGGAACTCAACAAGAGACACGGGAACCAAGGGGAAGTGGTTATGACGAACAAGCCCGAGACAAAAGACGGAAAGCATCAGCCCGACCATAACCGATGCCAGTCGTAAGCCGGACAGATATTGCGGATCGGAGGTTTCCTGAGTCTCCCTTTCCTCGCCAGTTTCAGGCTTTTCAGTTGCATTTTCTATAAGTTCCCTCGACTTCATGCCGCCTTCACGCGAGTTTTCTGATCGGTGCATTTCGACGGGGGTTTGGTTGACGACAATAGCCATATGTGAAGAAGCGTTGATTGTTCCTATTTTCCCCCATTGTAGTAGGGTTCTATAAGATATTCTACCTCTATATAACTGAGCAGTTTAGGAGCCGGGAAACCAAATTGACCTGCTCTCCGATGCTCAAGGTTGGAGGATCGCCATGGTACACCTGCAGAGCTTATGTGACCAGGGTATTTGATTGGCCAAGTTGCTTTAGTCAGACGAGTGAGAAATCCAAGATCCACCGGCGGAGAGCAACTTGCTCTCCGTTCCGGCTCAGGGGCATGTCCAATCCGTCACTCTGCATATCAGGAACCTTATTCCTTCAACTTTAGCCTCGCCACGCCCGGTAAATTTCCAATTACTTTTGGATTGTTGCCACAATGTCGGAAAAGCACCGGGCTTGTATAAACTGTGCACGAGCTAAAGCTAAGTGTGTCAGGCCCAGCGGCATCGACGATAACGAAAATGAAGTGCCATGTCGAAGGTCTGGCTATATTGACATTAAATCAAGCCCATCTCACTCAACGTCAAATAAGTGCAGTATTTAATGTGTGTCAGTTCCACAGGTGTTCTAAGAACAATGTACCTTGCTCCAGAGTCATGCCGGCGGGACCGAAAAACAAGAGAGGCAAATCCACGTCCGTATATACGCGCTCATGTAAGAAGCTGAAGCAGTCTCTGACAAAAGGAAAAGACGAGGCAAAGTAATCGAGAAAAAGCTGGACGACATCATGTCCCTCCTCAACCAAGAACGGCGGCAATCCCCCTCACCGTCTCAACCGCAAACGCCGCATGTTCGAGTGCCTGGGCCGCCATTTCAACCATCAATACCCACGTCTGCTTCGAATCAGCTTGACGCAGAAGGCCCTTATTTCGTCCTTGGCCAAGACCTCACCTTTGAAGAAGCAGATCAGTCACTCCACTATTATCAAACCGAGATGCTCCCACAATTCCCCTTTGTTCCTCTACCGGTCTGCCGAACTTCCGAATTGTATCATGCGAGCCCTCTTCTCCTGAAAACTATTCTGAGAGTTTGCCGACCTCTTGGCCCGGAGAAAGATGCGATATTCGAGCGCTGGTTTCGTCAACATGTAGTTTATCGAATAGCAGTACTCATGGAAAAGAGCACAGAGCTCCTGCAGGCGATTCTCGTTTTTGTCGCTTGGTAAGATGAAGCCCCATTTCATTCGACTCAAGGCCGCCATGCTGATGTATTTTCTTCTGCCGAAGGAACCCTGTGAGCTTTTATGTTGGCGGTGGTGAAATGAGCCTTTTGCAGTTGGCTATTGGGATTGTCGGAGAGCTGGGCCTGACAAAACGACCTGATGCCTACGGTCACAAGTCTGTTTCTATTGTTGACGATGCTATGTGGCTACGGAATGAAAAACGGCCTCGGCCACCACAGCATCGGAATATTGACCGCAGAGCGACACTTGGGGTGTTTTATCTCACATCGATGTAGGTTTTGATTCATGCCTTTTTTTTTTTTTTTTTTTTTTTGTTAAAGCGCCAGTAGCTGATCTCTCTCTCTCCAGGCTGTCTAGTCTGCTAGGAAAAGTATGCCGGCTCGAGTATGTCAGCTATTTCGATGATTGTTGTCGAGTTCTTCTTGAAGCGAAAGAATTCGACACCGATCGGCTGCTCGTACATCTCATTCGATTACGGAAGATATCGCTTAAAGTTAGCGATGTGTTCTGGGGCCGGAATGACAGCATCCACAACACGCAGTCTTGGAGCACACATTCCATGGCGACTGCTACAGTTCAGAAAGAGCTTGAGTCATTCATGGAAACTCTCCCAAGGCCGCTCCAGTCGAGTCGTATGATCTCCCCCGATTGACGAAATTACAACATGAAGTCTCTGTTAACGGAAATGGAATTATAGATATCCTTCGCGTCGATTGTGCTGCGATCCGGATTCGCCTTCTGGAACCTGCTATACACAGTCCTGGCAACACTCCAGATCCCACCCTGCTACGATCCAGGCTGATGTGGGATTGCCTTTCTGCCACACAGAAAGTATTTGACTCGTTTGTAGAAACACCTGTCGAGGAATACTCAGCATTCACGTTTGTGAGCATGCTCAATCTTGCCTTGGCCATTGTTAAATGCATCAAGCTCCTTTCTGCCGTGGATGATCCCGACTGGGATGTTGAGACAGCACGGCGAAGCTGTGATCTCTATAAGATATTCCTTCAGCTCAGTGACCGTTGGGTAGCTTCACGGCTTACAGGGAAGCCAAGATGCTCACTAGTGAAAGACGGGAAACATCTGGCGACAAAATACGCGGATCGTTTTAAGTGGCTTGCGGGATGGTATCTTTCTAAGGTTACGGCGAATACAAGCAGCGACCCATCCCCCAGTATCCTCTCGGGTCCTTTTCTCGGGGACGGAGGTTTGATGAATCACAACGGTGATCCGGGAAGTGATTTTTGGGAAGAGCTTGGTGATTGGACCTACGGGATTGATATAGCAGTAAATGACCTCGTCCGTTACTGATATGTTTTGATTGAGGAACCACAGTTACCAGGAATGGGACCAAGATGTGTTATTAAACGAAGAAAGCTGCTCTATCAGGAAACTAAGGTAGTCTGAGGATATTCACTCAGCCACCTCTCCAACACTATCAACTTGTCACCTGTTGCTGAACAAATGGTCCGTCACACCTTTCCTCTCACCAATGCGCGGAGTATCTCTGTTTTCTGATAGCTCTTACCCACTTGGAGCACATGTCCAATTTCTGATAGCTTCCCTAATCAAGGCCAGTATTTCTCTCTAACGAGCGCCAAAGTAGCATCCGAGAACTCCGTTATGCCTCTATCTTCGCACCTCGTCCTCGTACGTGTCGAGATAGCTCTCTCGCCCGTCTTCTTATTCACTGCTTCCAACTCCACCAATGTTTTCTTTACTATAGATCCCTCTAGCGCCCACCTAGGCACAACCTCTCTATAAACAACACCCTTCTCCCGTCGGACCATCTCAACCATCTCCTCCTGGTTCTTGCCATGCAGCTCCCTCGTTGAGAAAAAGCTGCGCGCAAAGGCTGACACGCTGTTCCGGACAGCGTCGCCGCGACACCGCCACAGCACATTATTTAGACATTCTTCGACTGTGGGAACATTGAAGATGCGACCGTCGAAATAAGGAAGGGGAAGGGATCCGATGTCCTTCTTTATTGGCGGGTCAGGCGACTCCGCCAGTGCAGTCATGAGGTGCGAGTAGAAGTGAACGGAGCAAAACCCAGCAGCCAGCGTGACAATCTTCATGGCACGGTCGTTGAATGATTCAACCCCATTCGGGAAGACGAGGGTGATTTCGTCTGATTGCGTGTAGGCTAGTGTGGCAGCTGGGTAAGAGTCGAGCAGGTCCGCGCAGGTGCTCACCATTGCCTTGTGCAGCCTTTCATCAAAAGGTTTTGAAAAGGACGCCGTGAATTTCGAGAAGGCGTGTCCATCAAGTCTGAGGATGACAGGTTGTGATGGCTCGAGATTGATTTCTGTAGTGGCTTCGTATTGCTTCATCCGGGTGGCGAGAGCCATGCGCGGCTCCTCGCTACCAGCCACAAAGGGTTGCTCGAGTCTTTCTGTAGCCATAACGACAGTGATTCATACATGTAGAGCGCAATGAAAGCGACGAAGAAGCGCCGCCTATGGACTCTATAAATATTGTTTGTAAATGCTTTGCACGAGGGTGGCGGAGTATTTGCATGAGTCATAATTTTGGACCTAAGGGGCTGAGGGGAACGGGGAGCTTTAGCTGTTTGATGTAGGGAATGGACATACAGAGGGAACTTACATATGAAAATGAAAATAAAACTGATATTGGGCCGTTTTTCATGGGCCATCGACTTGTATGTTCACTTATCCATTTGTCATTAGCAAGGTCCTTAGCTACGGTCCGCTTTGATGGATCCCACCGCAACATCTTCCGCATCAGTCGCAGAAAGCGTTGCCTCTCTTCTCCCTTGAGATTTCCTTCCCTTTCCCGCAATGGGCTGGGACTAGCGGCGAGACAGTTGAGGTAGCTCTGTAAACCAACGTCCCCACGGTCTGATGACGATTTTCAAGATCTGTTCAGTACGGGTAGGGTAGTCTCACGAGGGAACGTAGTCTAGCATGGTGTCTTCTTCAATCAGGTAGTCTAAAGAGATTCGAGGAAAATCTGGTTAGGAAAATCCAGTGGCTTCCATTAGCTCCTAAATACGGAGAGAAGACCAGGTGGCACCATCAAGAATGGGTGAACTCTAGGTGAAGAGATATAGGGGAGATATAAAAAAGTATACCGAAGGTAGTCCCTCCCAGCGCGACGCCACAGAGGGAGCATCTTACTCTCACTATTGATTTTCAAGGGAAAAGAAATATCTAGGGCTAGAAGAACAAAAGCAACTGGTTAATTATACTACTCATGCAACCAGGAGCCACCAACAACACTACGAGGGGATAAATAACATATCTATGCGATATATCGATAAGGTAAAGGGTAATAATATTTCTCAGCCCAGGATTAGGACAGGAGATATCCACGGAAATACGTGGCAAGGCAGACAAGTCCCGTGCTGATACTACTCACTATAGACTGTGAGATTATAATGCGGATAAACATCCCCAATTTCTTCTAGAATGAGCCATTGAAGAACACTTCGACTTGGGGGAAGGCTACATGTACGCTAGAAACTCCCAAGGTTTCAGTCCACCTAATATCACACAGACCAATGGTAAAATGCAACAGGGCGAAACTAGCAGATTGTGCCACTCTATTTTGAAACCTATCAATAATTACCTACCTAAGGTATCAAAGGTGCGATGCCAAAAATTCTTCATTTGGTCCGGGGTAGCGATATATCGAGAGGCGCATGCGAGACCGAGATGCTGGAACGAATCTTCATAACAAGAACGCACTATCGAATTCAATAAAGAGCCGGCCCCAACCATTTGAGTTGGCCGAATTAACGTATCAAGAGAAGAATAACTTTCTTCTTTCTTCTAGTTTTTCTCTTGTCACTGGGATGTGGCATAAGATCGGCAGACACGCTGTCCCTTTCCGGGCTCGGTTCTCCCACTAGATTAACAAAGTTCAACACAAACGAAAACCACAACTTCTTGGTGGTTTTGTAATTGAATTCAAGCCACCCCGTCATAATAGTGCAGCCACCCGACGGGTTCATGTGAAATCGAGGGACATGTGGAGAGAGCCAGGTGAAGAAATTGATTCCATCCAGATGACCGCTGGCTGAAACCAACTCTCAACCCTGGGTTGGCCTCGAAGCTGGACCTCTTCTTCTCTTGAATTATCCGGAATTGATTAACCGCAAATACATACGCTCGTAAGCAAAATGGTCGCGATTTCTCGGGTGAGCACCCTGGAATACAAGTAGGATCTAGCAGCAACAACAAGCCAGGGTCATGGCCTGAATTGACGTCACCAGAAGCAACGATCGCAATCCAAGTAAGCCAAGACACGTATGGGGGCTGGAAATGCATTCATAATTCGTAATTAATAATCCATCGTGACAAGGATCATATTGGTGCGCCTGCGTTTCAGCTGGGCCAGATTACCCTGGACCGCTCACCTGTGCGCCCTAGAAAGACAGAAATAATGAAGCGCCATTGTTGACTCCTGCCCGTGCCGTGTCCCGGTAAGGCGCTTCTTCTGTCAGGGTATGAATATGATTGGCAGCTCTATTTCCAGTTGTCGGAGGAGGGTGTCATAGTTGGTGAGCTGACATATCAAAAGCGCATCCCGCCGACTTCGGACACTCCCAAAGTTTAGGCAGAGCAGGCAAATCCAAGCTAGCAGTTCGCATGCTCGATTCACACCCTGGGAGGTTCTGCACGCACATTGAAGGCAAGAGACGACGAGAATATATGCGTCGAGAGCCATTAACGGCAGCCGATGCATGCCGCCGTTTCCCGCAGCCGCCGTCAACCGATCGATCGCGCGACTATTATGTTAAATTTATGTTAAAGAAACTGGAAAAGAAAAAATTTAACCCAGCAAGCTCCCTTCCAAAATTGTCCCTGTTGATAATTCAGTGGGACAGTGGAGAGAGGGATCGAAGGGTGGATCGATCACTGCCAGGGGAACTCTCCAACAAACAACTACTGCCATGTACATACAATAGCTCGAGTCACGGTTATTTCGTCTGTATGGATGCGGCTAATCGTAAGTGAGTCACACTGTTTGCGTTTGTTGGATTTCTAATAGTAAAATGCGCTTGTGACGGGGCTGAAAGGCTAACTGGTGGTCGTCCTGAACGTGTCCCTCAATGGATTGATTGACCTGCAAGGCGCGATGGACCATGACAAAGTGGATATTTGATGGATATTTTAGATCTCGTGTCAATTTTTTTCTCCTGTCTCCTTCCGGCTTCCGTATGCAGCAGTCAGTCCACCGTAGAAAACTCGGCAATGCATGGAACGAATTGCATGCCTGCTCCCGCCAGGACAGACATGGGCGAAAAGAGAGATCCCTACTTGATGATGAAAACGACAAACGTTACCTAAGCGGGAGAGCAGGGAGCTAGACGCCACGAATTGCCTGGAAGACGTGCTGCTGCTGTGCTGTATTAATAAGACGACGAGTATTTCTCATCACCCAATCAATGTAGACGCGCCCTTCGGTTCGACTTAGAGCCACATGAGGGAGAACACCCCTTGCAAGGCGTGCTCGACCGCTGGAATCGGCGTGAGTTTTAGTCATTGACAAGCTGGCTGCATGTAGATCACGCCCTGCAGGGTCACCCTCCCTGCCACGGGCCGGTGTGAGTGGGGATGTGATGACTGGACTCGTTCAAAGGAGCATTGGTCATCTGGCTTGCCAGGGTGGAGAAGAAAAGCTCCTGTTTACTACTGAGACGCTGCGTGTGTGTGTTGTGGTGGGCCTCCGATCCCCACGGGTTGTTCTTGGTCGACATCATATAAGACATGGGGGTCTCTGGGGAAGAAGGGCGTTCGATCCCTTTATCAGGTGTCACTGCAGCTATCCAACCGTCTTCTCTAGAGCTTCTCGAGAAACAAGCATCCGAGTTTGATCGATACAACACACACGCATTCGCCGAAGCTCTGTCCAGGGCGATCCATAGCTTCTTCTCTTCACCATGTCGGCCACCGTCAAGACCAGCTCGCCTCGACTGCTCACTGTGAGCGTTGACATTGACAACCACTACAAGTCAAAGATCTACACAACCGCCTCCAAGGTCTCTGGGAATGTCATCATCCGCGCCCAGCAAGACGTCGCCTTTACCGATGTCGATATCCAGTTCCTCGGCATCGCTTCGTCCCGTCTCGACTTCGTCAGTCACTACCTCTCGCACTCCATCCGCACATTCTTGAACCTTCCCATGCCGGTTCCTGAGAATGATCTCCCGAGCCCCCGCATCTTCCAAGCGGGCCGAACCTACGTGATCCCCTTTGAATTCGTGGTCCCCTCCCAGCTCACCCTTCACGCATGCACCCACCATACCGACAGTCCAGATGTCAAGGACCGCCACCTGCAGCTCCCGCCCTCTGTCAACACTTGGGAGGCAGATGACCTGAGCCCGGATCCCACCATTATCGAGTATGTCGTCAAGGCCAAGATCTCGCAGAAGGGCGAGAAGGAACCCTATGAAGCTAGCCAGGCCATTAATGTCCTCCCGGCCTTCCCCGAGGAGCCTCCAGTTCACATCACATCAGGCGATATTCACTACTGCCCGTCCAAGGAGAAGCCTGTCCGCAAGAACTTCTTCACAAGCAACTTGGGCACTCTCCGTGTCTCTGCACGCCAGCCCCGCGCGATCATGCTTGCCGCTGACGGGCGTTCGTCATCTGCCTCTTCTGCACACGTGGAGCTTGAGTTCTACCCATCGAAGGACTCCCAGACAAAGCCACCCGAGATCCATTCCGTGAGTGGGAAGCTCGTAGCTGAGAGTTGGTGGGGCGGTTCTATCCAGGCCGGGCTCCCAAACATGGGCAAGCGATGCGTCACCCATTTCCCCATCTACAGCAAGGCGGTTCCTCTCTTCAGCCGTCGCACTGGCAAGCTATCTTGGTCGGGCTACGAGTCGGGCCCGCACAGGAGGACCTCAGAGAGCAGCAATTCTTCGGTCGATTCCTTCAGCATGGGGCTCGGGCCTGATTCCATCAGCACCAGCAACGAATCGACCCCGTGCAGCAGCAGGAGGAACAGCTGCTTTGTCGCGGAGCAGCAGCCCGCGTATCGTGCCAAGATCAACGCGCCATTCTCACTTCCCATGTCGAACAAGAAGGTGTTCCTGCCTTCCTTCTATACCTGCAACCTGTCCCGGACGTACAGCCTTGAACTGACCATCGTTACTGGGTCCGCTAAGCGATCGTCCACGACATTATGCCTTCCTTTGCAAATTGGAGTCGAACCGTCCGCTGCTGCTTTAATTGCTCTTCAGACGGATGAGCTTCCTAGCTTCGAGACTGCGCTGCTGGTGGGTGATTCGTTGAGCGCTTTGGCTTTGGAGGAGTCTCAGCGCAGGACATCCTTGCCCAGCTACGGTGACCGAGTCCATCGGTTCCAGTGATATTTATCACTTCTCTTTTTCTTCTTTGGTCGCGAAACGATGAAGCGGCACTTGAATATGTTATAGCAGGATATGCGACGGAGGGATGAGGCGGCATGGATTGATTCTCGCATTGAACTAAGATACCCAAAAGTAGAAGTTATGGTCAACAGTGACCTCGTGGATCACTTTAACGAAGCATAAAGATGTACCTAAATATATAATGATAATTGATCGATAATAAGAATAAAAACAGTCACGAAAATTGGAATGAACAGACAAGACAGCAACCGTGATGCTACCGGCCTTCTGAACAAACAAATGTCATTGAAATGTAGAATCCAGACGTCTTCGCTTGCCAAGATCGTTTGCCGAGACGAACTTGATCTGCGCACGAACGTCAAGGGCGTGTCTTACTCACATTGACAGCATTTGAAGGAGAAGTGCTGCTTTCTATACAACGAATGCGGAAGCACCTACTTCACGAAGGTCGTTTATTGAAACCAGCTGGTAAGACAATGGCCGCAAAACCCTCTCTGGACATGAACAGCTGGATGACTACAAGCTCGACGATGATGCCTTGGGTATGGCTTGCTGAGACTCAGGGGCACAAATGATATTCAGGCACCCGGTCTTGGCGAATCGCACTGGTTTTGGCAGTAATTTCTGCGACCGGAATTCTGGACCAAACTTCTTCATCCAACAGTCGATAATGGGCACTAAAATTTCCTCCCTTTCCTTGAAACAGGTTAGGCCCAGCCGGCATGATGACAGAGTCTGTGGGTTTGAGTTTGGGCACATTCCAGAAGACGCGCGCAGAACAAGGGAAGAACACACGACATTCCGCAGCATCTTCCATCTTTAAGACAAATGAACGCCACTTCCTAGGACTCACGAGGGAAATGACAGAAATTCACGAGACATGAGCTTCTGGTCGGAACCGTCCGGCTCAGTTCCCATTATGGAAAAGCGCCAAACTTCGAGTTCGTCGCCGGTGCTGTCCCAACTGCTCCAGTCGAGCGAGTACAGCGACTTCACTCTGGTTTGCCAGGGGCAAGAATTTCATTTACACAAGAATGTCGTCTGTGTCCAATCGCCAATGATCAATGCGGCGCTGCGGGGGGAGTTCAAGGTGAGAATCCCCCAAGACTCGCCAGCAAGATGCTGTCCTCGGGCAGAGGATTCGTCTAACGATAATCTGCCGCGTAGGAATCCAAGACAAACACAGTGAATGCCGACCAATTTGATCCCTTGATCATGCAGTGTGTCGTGGACTTTTGGTACAAGGAAAACTACAGACCCCATAGGCCTACGACGGTAAAGAAGGAGCATCGACGTACGGAGAAACATACGAAACCAGCGAAGAGTGAAATTGAAAAGCCGAAGAGTAATTCGTCTGTGCCGAAGATCGAGATAGAGTCGTTTCTTCACCATGTCCGTGTCAACGCCGCTGCTGATTACTATCAAGTCACCAAGCTCAAGGAGCTCTCCAGAGCCAAACTGCAACACCTGCTTCGGAGCCACTGGCGCCTCGAGATGTTTCCTACTCTGGTCCAAACCATCCATGGAATGACGGGCGACGAGGAGGTATACAACTTGCTCGCCCTGTTCGCCGTCAGGCATATGAACGAGCTCACAGATTTGCCGGAAGTCGCCGAGCTGGACTGGGGCACCGAATTCACTCTGCGTGTTTTGCGCTGCTGCGGGAGGAACATGAGCCTGCTGAGCTCTGGACTTCGCAAGAGCCATGACGACTGTACCAGACAGGCGCAGATTCTGGACAACATCGATAGGTGTAAGCAAACCATGGAGAAACTTACAAATTGCCCAAGCTGCGACAGGGAGTTTCTGAGCATGTTGGAGAAGACGAATTGTGGCCACGCTTATCACATTCGATGTCGCGGCTGTCGAGATCTTCTTCCGAATTAGCATCGCCGGTGTAACCGTGACCACTGTGTGAGCTGAATAGAAACAACCATTATAATATATTAGAACCCCCCGAATATTTAATCAATTTACATTAAAACATTTACATAAGCCATATATTTCAAGAGAAAATACTTGCTTTGAGCTTCTCCTTTTCTCCCACACTTGTGCTCTCGCACATGCCACGGAAGATACCCTCCTTTTCCCACAACTCACGCGGAGTACCAAACTCAGCCATGCGTCCCTTATCAAGGACCAGAATCTTGTCAAAGTCCGCGACAGTGCCCAGGCGGTGGGCGATGACAAGAAGCGTGCTGTCGCCGAAACCCTGACGGATGCTCCGCTGGATGAGAGTGTCGGTGGCGGCATCCACGGCCGAAGTGGCCTCGTCAAGCACGATGATCTTGGGGCGGTTGACGATGGCCCGGGCGATGCAGAGAAGCTGTCTCTGGCCCTGGGAGAGGTTCCCACCGGATTCGGAGATGGGGCTCGACAGGTCGTGGAAGATGTTTACGTTTTTGGAGGCGGGTGCACTTGTGGCTCTGTATTCAATCTGGTCGCTATCCACGAGTTGTACTTTAATGAGAGCATCAAATAGCGCTTCATCAGTATGGTGGCCAGATGGATCCAGATTAGACCGAACGGTGCCTGAAAACAGCACGGGGTCCTAAGTCACAAGAGTTAGCATCGGATCTTATGATGAGTGTAATTGCAAATACTCACCTGAGGGATGATGGAAAGTCGAGACCTCAGCGTTTGAACTGCAATCTTGGAGATATCCAAGCCGTCCACGGTAATGCTCCCCGCTCGTGTATCCAAGAACCGGAACAGTGCCAAGGTCAGCGATGATTTGCCAGCTCCGGTTCTCCCAACGACGCCTACACGCTCATTGTGGGCAACAGAGAACGTCAAGTTGCTTAGAACACTGGGTAGGTCGGCCGCATAGGCCACTTCCAAGCCGGAAAATTCCATGTTACCGGACCGTGGCCACGCGGCTGGAGGTTCGTCACCGCTGAGGTCTTCTGTGTCCAACTCCATATACTCCGTAGCTCGCTCCATTGCGTTCATGTCTAGTTCCATGTCGCCATAGTATCGGATCGCAAATCGGATGCTCTCGGAAAAGTCCAGAATGAAAGACAGCGCGAAGCCTGCCAGTGCTGCGTCAATGGAGGGGTTGAAGACAATCACCAACCCGACAGCAATACAGAACACGGCGGCAAGAAGGGCCATGCGGAAACTCATCCATCTGTTGGCAAGGGCGAGGTAGAACGAGGTCATGACCCATTTGTCGAGGTTGTTCTGCATCTGGGTTAGATAGCTCTGGCTACGTTGGAAAGCCCGGATCGTTGAAATTCCTGTGAGGGTGGTGTTGAAGAGTTCGAATACTGGCGATTTGGCGTTACTCTCAAGCCGTTTGAGAGGTCGGCTGGCGGCCAAGTATCTTCCTCCAGTTATGGCACCGATTCCTACCAGAACCAGGGCTGGAAGAATGAGACTTCTCGAAGCAAAGAGGGTAGCCACGCAGACACCCATCAGTCGAAGGGCGCTCATATAGAACAAGCCCCAGCTCATCATGATGCGCTCATCGATGGTATGCATATCAGCCGTGAAACGGTTGATCACTCTTCCTATCGGAACGGTGTCGAGCCACCGTAGAGGAGCACGCAAGACCCTGAAGAGCATTTTATCGAAAATGGCCTTGCTGCCCTTGATGGCGATGGCATACCCTAGGAAAAACCGAAGCAGAGCGAGAGTTGAAGCGGCAACTGATATCGATACATAAATGGAGAGATAAAAGGATACATCCTCATCAACAACAAGCTGTCTTGGTGTTTGAGGGCTCGTTTCCTGTTGCATGAAGTGGAGGGCGCCGAGAATGTTGCCGTTTTGATGCATCGTCTGGTTTGACGTAGTGGCCGTCCAAATACGAAGCCACCATCCACGAGCTATGGTTATGTTAGCAAAAATCACTCGATATCGTCGATAGACGGATGCGATGGACTCACCGACAATACTGATCTCGTGCGAAAAAAATACGCCGGCCCATACAAACCACATGATCATCCCACCACTGCTCCTGAGGTATGTCAGGTAAATACGTGACTTCACTGTTCCCCTCTCGCGAAGTTCTTCTTGAACGAATTTCTTTGAGTCTCCTGGAGGGATTGAAGGGGAAGGTGTCGCTGGTTCATCCTCCAAATTACCAAGAACAGAACCTTCTCCTACAACAGTAGCACTAGGGCTATAGCTATCCCCACTGTCCGATGACGAGGCACTCGAGATAAGTGGCTCGTCAGGGGGGCCTGCATACTTGACTCGGCCGTCTGAAAGTTCAACTATGTAGCTCGCTTCAGAGAGAACCAGTCCAGAGGCGTGAGTGACGAGTATGCGAGTTCGGCCATGGCAGAGGGGCCCAGTCAGGCATTTATCGAGGATCCAACGACCAACATGGGTATCGACGGCAGAAAAGACATCATCCATGATGAGGATGTCTGCCCTTGAATAGACAGCACGAGCTAGTGTTACGCGCCACTTTTGCCCACCGCTGAGGTTCACTCCATTGGCACCAAGCTCGGTGTTATCGCCATCAGGGAGAATGGCCAGGTCATCGCGCAAAGCACAAGCTGTGATCACAGCGTCATACCTGCTCTTGAGAAAAGGAAGACCAAAGAGGACATTGTTGCGGAGAGAGCCATTCTCAAGCCATGGGTTCTGGCCAATGTACGCTACAGACCCTGGAATGACCCAACTGTCATACGGGTGGTACTCATCATCCTCACAGGCCCCGCCTGGTCTATTCGGCACGTTTATGAATCCTTCAATAAGTTCTGCCTCTCCGATTAAGGCAGAGATGAGCAGGCTTTTTCCAGAGCCCGTCTTGCCGGAAATGATGGAGAGCTCCCCCGTGGGGAATGAGAGGTTGAGCCCGGAAAGAGTGAAGCGATTCTCTGAAGCTGTACGTTGATCGGTTGGCCATGAAACCATAGCCCGTTCAAAGCCTACAGAGTGGCTGTTGGTCAAGATATCCCGTCTTTCAGGCCCATTTAGATATGCCCCAAGCCGTTTTGCGGAGACAAAGGACTCAATACCCAACGTGATGAGCTCGGGGAGGGCGACAAGGGTTGTCTCGAGGCTGTTGAAAACTCCAATGCTGACGAAAGCCACCGAAGGGGTCAACCGGCCGTTGATGAAAACGTAAACTGTGAGGCAGGTTGCCGCCAGTAAGATGGGACTAATAGCCCAGCAACCGAATACGCCGCTGTCGGCGAGGAAGTATCTCCACAATGCCTGGAGTTCCGCTCGCCTAGCAGCAGATATCCTCTGCTCCCACTCGACTTCCAACGCCGAGAACTTGATCTGGCGGATCCCCAACAGCGCCTCGCTGACCTTGGAAAGCTTCCTGTCGCGAAGCTTCATAAGCAAATCAGACTCCTTGAGGACCTTCTTGGAGAACCAGGCATTGGCGGGCACCGTCAGCAGCCAGGCCAACATGCCAGCTACGAACGGTAGCCAGCCGATGAGACGGAGGAGAAACACGGAGAACAATATTAGCTTGACCACCCCGTTGATGACGAGAAAATGGAACTGCAGAAACTGTGATATGCGATCCAGGTCGACGCCCACAAGGTTCACAATAGCCTGGCGAGATTTGAGAACCGTTTCTTTGTCCGTCGCGTCAGTTCTCTCGGCTTGAGGCTTGCCTTCATGATCACTCCAGTCATCTGCCTCTTTTGTAGCTGTTTTGACATCTTTACGGCGCAATGACTTGTCAAAAACCAGACTGGCCATCTGGGACCTAACGGGCAAGGAGAGGTCGGCAACTGAGTACCACCATGCCCAGCCGTCCATCCACTGCAAAGAAAGTAAGCGAGCTGAACACAAGTATTATTTTCACTAGGTATGGAACAGATAGACGTACCGCGTCGAGCAGATTGGTGGAGGTCATGATGCCTACCAGAAGCAGCAACTTGATGATATAGGAGCTTCTGTTCTCGTCGCTCTCCAGCAGGGTGATGATGCTAAGCATAGCCCAATACGGGAGAATGCTCACCGCGCCCTTGAGACTTGACACCGTCCATAGCAGGGCAAACTTCCCCTTGTGTGCCCAGAAAATTGAGTCAAAAAGAGAAGTGGATTGGAATCCAAAGCGAGTCCAACCATTCTGAAGCTCCGATGCTCTCAGGCTGTGATCGGGCCCTGGTACGTCTGCATAGTCAAGGTCACCTTTGATGATGGCAAGGCGCAAGAGTGGTTCGACCCAGGACCAGCTATATTTGCTGATAGATGACACAGTAGACTGTCTGTCGACTTTGCAGCCGTTGTGCAGCACGTCAGGTCTCCTTGGAAGCATGACACTGAGAAAACACACGACGCATGAGGCGACAATGTTCACCGCGTCTAGCATTGCCAGGGGATTTACATGACCGTGGATTCTGGGTGATAACTGCATCAATCTTGCGATTGAGGCGGCCATCAGTGACAAAGCTGACACCCATAGCCATATCCCAAGCAAATGGGATTTGACGGGGGAATGGTGAGCGGCGATACAAACGCCATGTAAAAGGATGAAAGCCTGAAGATGACATCGTATTAGCACCAATCACAAGAATGGAAATCAACAATGCAAACAGCGTACCCAAGCACCAATGACGAAGCCATATTCAAGAAGCCATTCGTTGCTCTGCTCAATGAAGGACGAGCGCACCAAGATAGCAGTCGAAGAGCCAACACCACAGAGGGAGAAGAAGACGATGGCGGCCTTTACCCCCCGATTCGAGAAGCGAGCCAATGACTCCGGGGTAGCGGTCCCATCAGCATCTTCGTAGAACCGGTTGCAAGGCTTTCCCTCCCGCAGCTGGGCGATGAGGGCAGTGACGGCGGGAAGGGCTGACAGCACGGCGACGGCAAAGGCCGCAATGGTAAGACCAAGATGATCCATGGTCTGATGAGTGCCTACAATTGGGACTGGAAAATGGGAGCCCTCGCCTCAATCCTCATTCAAGAGAAGAGTTACATGAGGTGAGATTGCTAATAAAGACCGGGAGGCATTCCGGGACAGGAGCGCCTCGATTGCAGCCACTCTCTCTTCTGCTGACCACACAGGGCCTGCACTCTGAGACATATGATGGTCTTAGGCACAAGCTTCAGCTGGGAAGCGCTGAGACCAAAAAAAGAAAAGCCAGGCCGGGCCGTAAGACAAAAACGCCGAGCATTTGCCTCTGGCGTCGTCCATCTCGGCCCTCCGTTGCATGGTACTCCCCTTGTACTGGTGCGGTCACCGCAGTGCGCGATGCGCTGTCTCACTCTTCGATTCGGCAAGTGAATGACACCACCTAAATGAGGCTTGCAGTAGTCTCCTCTTGGCCAATATATCAGCCCAATGTTGTGCCAGGGTGTGCAGCCAACCCCCCGGCATCCGGCGGTGGGTTTGATGCTGGGCGAGCTGCAGGCCTCATGTATGGTTCAGGCTGCCCCCAAAACAAAGCAAGGAAAGCATACATGGCTGCAGAGAGACCTGATCCTGCGCATGCATGTTCCACTATTTTTATTGATTTCAGCGCCGATCCGGTGATGGGCCCTCCTCTGCCGATACCCATCCATAAAGGGGGGTGCTATGATCTACGACTTGCATACGCGGACGGTGCATTGTTTGGCCCTCAGAGCTCGGCACTTTATTACATACAATATATTGTGCGTTATTAGTGTAAATGGTGGACCGGGTGCATACAATGATCAGCAAGCCATCTACGGGGCCACCAAGCCAGTTCCCATCTAGTCCTGTCGAATTACCGAGCAGATCCAGGCTCCTCCGCAGCTGACGGCCACGATCCTGTTCCCGCTTGATCGCCAGGTGCCCAAGCCAAGAAGCTGGCCATTGGAGGCGTGCCAAGTCCCGACCAAGGGGTAGCTCACCATGTCCCCTGAAGCCTTGAGTATGACATCGTACACGCGTGGGACAATCTTCCGTTGGATGACACACGAGACACCCGGCACAACCTTGGGGCACCGTAGCCTCTCCAGGGAAGCCACCCATTGCTCGTTGTCGAGATCGTCGCCAAAGACGATTCCTGCACCCTTACCACTGCGGATTGGCTTGAGTATGTACTCGTGCCTGAGCTCCGGGGCTTCCTTACAAGCATGAATGAGCTCCTCTAGCTCCTCTGAGCCCGGGAGTAGCGTGTTGGTGATGCCCCGAGCCAACGCGTCCCCCTGCTGGGCGGTGAGCACGTGGTGAGCCACCAGGCGAGGGATCTCCTGTCTCACGATTCCCAGCATGCGCTTGTCGTGGACGAGAAGGATGGTCCGCATGTCATTGAAGCACCGCAGACTGATCTCTCGCAGCACCTCGGGCTGCATGGCGGCAAACTCGCGCTGGTGCAGCTCGAGCCCGACCTGGCGGATCTCCTCTACAAGCTCTCCGTCGCTGGTGGTGAACAAGGTCGCCTGGTTTGGCAAGGTGACTTCGTCTCCGGAGCCCTTGTACAAGCAGCAAAGACGGTGCCCGCTGCTCGCTTGCGGATCGGGCAAAAGTCTGAGCTCGGCAGGTGTGATGAGTCGCGGTTTGATGCCAAACCGGCGCTGGACAGCATCAACAAACATGTGGATGTCGATGCCATTCTCCTCTCCTTTGAGCAGATGCAGCGGGAGAGTGGGATTGAACAGGCTAAAGAGTCCGTCCACGATCTAGATGCCAATTGATCAGTCTCTCGTCTCATTCCAAACTTATCAATCGAGGAGTCTTACCATCTCTGGGTCAGTCGCACTAACTAACCCCAGCTCCCGCGCCCCGGCGTCGCTCAAGGCCTTGTTGACGGCATGCTGGCCGTATGCCTCGTGCATGAAGCCATTGAAGGAGAAGCGGGCGTTGATCTCCGTGACGCGGAAGTTTTCCACAATGGAGCCAGTCTGGCTGCAGGTGTGGTCCTCAACAAGGAAGTCTGGTCGCCAGGAGCCCAGACGTTCTGCAAACGGAGGAAGATTGCCGAGCAGGACTTGCTGGTCGAGCCACTATGTTGTTCAGGAGATCAGATTAGATGGACAATTAATTGAGGCCAGGATTGTGTAGAGTGACATACCTTGAGCAGCTCCTCTTCATCTTTCTCCAGAGGCATCCTCTCGGGGAACCGCGCCTCGACATCGGAGAACCACCGGGGCACAATATTCTTGAGGGCCACGACCAATGCCTCGTGGAGAAGCTCCATTTGTTGCTGGTGATGCTTGCCAATTAGAATAGGCCGTGGGCAGCCAGCCTCGTAGGAGCCGTTATGCCAGAGATGAGCAGGGCAAAGGCCCAGGAGGGTATCCTTCAAGCTATCATGGTCCTGTTCGTAGCAAGCAGCATTGGTCTCGCCGATGCCCTTCTCAATAGGGACGTAGCCAAGAGGGCCTGTCCCAAGGCGGATCTGTTGCATCTGGGCAGTGGCAGCCATTGTACGGAGTATGATCAATTGAGACTAGAATTCCAAAGGCAGCCCAGCGATATACCGGAGAAACGAAGAGAGATTGATGATGTGCCTGAATGATGTATGATTCCGGGGTCTCTATTTAGACCTACACCTCAACCACCACTCTGGATCGCCAGTGCATATGTAGGTGGGTAATAAGGAGGCAGGGGGATGGGCATTGGATGACTGCATAAAAGCGGCCTCATCTGGGCTTTGGGCGCCAAGCTGGGTCTTGCCGGGATGCGTCAAAGACATCCAATGGAGGCCTATCACGGAAGAGCATGCTTGAGGCCTCGCATTAATTTTCTTTTTTGCCCTATGTGGCGTCGGCCTATGATGATGTTCCGCAGGGTAAAGCCGGCACAAGAACCAAACGGAAATGAGAAGAATTGCATATCCCATGTTTTTCACTATTATGATGAGATTTGTTTCGATTCCCCTTTGAGAAATGAATTGTTGATCTATAATAAAGCCATTGGAATACCCATAATCGACCCAGTATCGGCATGTACACATACACATATAACTGCCTTCTCTAATAGTTTCCCGTCACTTTTGATCAATCACTTCACTCTACTGTCAGAATGGATCGAATTGCTCGAAATCACCGCGTACCTACGCTTCTTAGAGTTCAATCCTGCGTCTCGAAACAGAGCGTTGGCCCAAATTTATCACGCATCTCCAGGCTCTGGACACCCAGCCGCGCCCGTTCCTTGGCTACCGTTGCAACCAAGGTCTCCGTGCCCCAAATCACGGCTCCGGATCTAATCTACGCCCGCAAGCCTGACCATGTCGATGAGATCCATCACCAGTTGCAGCACCACGGCATCCTCAAAATCAGTCTCCAGTTCACAGACACATCGAGCACATACCTCCAGCATCTCCTCCGCAGTCTCCATGACCATCATGGACACCAGCTGCCCATATCCCACAGCGCCAAGCGTGGCTGGTTCTGGGACGTCCGGCCGAACGAGACGACCTTCCAGGCAGGCAACCACCAGGCCCGTTCCGAGACCATGAACGAGTTCCCCTGGCACACCGACTGCAGCTACGAGGACCCCCCGCCAAGATACTTCGCGCTCCAGGTCCTCCAGCACGACCGCTACGGCGGGGGCACCCTGTCCATCATGAACGTCGACAGGCTGAGCGCCCTCCTCTCGCCAGCCACGCGGGCCGCCCTAGTCAGGCCAGAGTACCGGATCAGCATCCCCCCGAATTCATCAAGGACCCAGCCCAGCAGCACATCCTGGGAAGCGTCCTGCTGGGCGCTAATGCCGGTGGTGGTGGTGGAGCCGGCGGTGGCAGGGGGCGGCAAGAGAGTACGAGGCCCGCTGTTATGCGGTTCAGGGGGGACATCCTCACGCCTCTGAGCGGCGAGGCGTCTGCTGCGCTCGACGAGCTGAAGGGCGCGCTGCGGAGTGCAGAGATCCAGGCCCGGTCGACGCTGCACCTCGTTGCTGACGAGCTGCCCAAGGGGAGCATCATTCTCGTGGATAACCGCCGGTGGCTGCATGCGAGGAACCACATCAATGACCCCGAGCGCCATTTGCGCCGAGTTCGCTGGGATGCTGTCCCATTTTCCAGCCTTTGCTGATTCAGATCAGGTCGTTGGGTGACAAAATTGACAGGGTATAAAAGACAGACAGGGTATAAGGATAGCTGAGGGAATCTTAATGGTTGTTACTGTGAGAAGGGCCTGGGTTGGGTGACTTGAGAGTCATAATTTGAGCGAGGAACAAATAAGCAGTGTTGACTTCACCTGAACAAAAGACATCATCAATAGTTCCAAGCTCCCCATGCCGTGCTGACGCGAAGCTGACCCTGTAGACTGCCCATGCGAGGAGTCGATTGGATGCCATTACGCTGGCTCAGCTTCCCCGCTAATAACCAGCCAGCCACCTGTATGCAGTAAGATGTGCATATCATTGTACTTAAAACGTACTCGTAGGGCACCTAAGGCGGGATCCCCATCACGTATTCGGAGAGAGGAGAGGACATGGGGGCCCAAACGGGAACGAGCAGCGGGAACTTAGACACCTGGGGCAGCTGAACGAGCTCAGCTCTCCTCTACTGGGCGATCGTTGCCTCTAGAACTTGTCTTGGCGCGCCAGCAAATGATCCTGGGGCCGAAAAGAAGAACCCTGGCTGCATCTGCGTCCACTATAACTGAGGATTGAGATTAGGTGTTTGTGCAGTGAGCATTGCAGCCCCGCAAGCAGACTCTGCTGCACGACACTCGCCTGCAGGAGAGCTGAAAGTAAATGAAGTCTACTCACTGCATGTCTCAGTCGAAAAGCCTCAGATGCTCGTAATCGCCGATTCCTCCAAATCCCAGGAGATCAATATCTGATCAGGGGCACTGGCACCACTACCAAAATTTCCCGTACATGTGCTGGCTACACCAACTGCGGGGATAATTTCAGAGCATCTCGGTTTGCAGCCATCCAAAGTGTAGCTGTGTGTGTGTGGTTACACGTAGGAGTATGGCCTTTCAACCAAGTTTTTCCCTGTCGGAGGTCTTGGCCGTCGCCAAGATCCATCCTTTCTACAACCATGAGGTAGAATATCCTCCCGGAGCAGATGTCGTCAAGGCAACTAGACAGCATCTATTGGGGCGAGATGAAGATGCCAATTTGCTTACCCAGCCTTTGCTGTGGAAGCGGGATCTGTAAGATGCGCCCTGCATGGTTCTCAACCCCTCCATGCATCTTCGGTCACATTTCGAGGACTCTCTCTGACAGTGTTACTCATCCAGCTACTCTGTAATCGGACGGCTCATAGCTGATCCAAGTCCCCTCAACACGTTCCGCCAGAGCGTGTACACGAGCACAACAGGCGGCGGGTCGAATTCCAAGCCTTTGTTTTTCGCCACAGATGTGCACGAGAACCGTAACCACCGGGCAGCCTTCGGGCGCTTTCTCCGGACCATCGGGCTCATCGAGCAGAACGACTGGGTTCTGACCACCCACTCATCGGGTGAATTGTATAGGTACGTGTTCCATTACGAGCCTGTGATACATCAGTGAAGGCAAAAGTTGGTAGCTGATACCAAGCAATGGCTAACGGCTGTTAGGTCACTCGATCTCACATTGGAAATTCTGGAGAATGCGGGTGCTTCCGTCCTAGCAGCTGGTCATCACATGTCCCATGCTGCTGTTGTAAAACTCTTGATACAGTACCACATCAATGTCTTGAGTGCCGACTCGAGCCAGGTTGTGTCCATGGTACACTACATCTCAACTCTGACGGCATCGGAGCGTGATCAAGTCAGAATCAACAAGATCATCTACACCTCGGAAGGGCTCTCACCGTCACAGAGAGCACACATCCGGGGTATTCTAGGGTCCGAGGTCAAGATATGCTCTCTGCTAGGCAGCGCTGAGGGTGGCCCCTATGCGGCCAGCAGTCCATCGTTGATCGAAGCCCAATCTACCGATACTGTGTCGTACCAAGACTTTGTCGTCGACAACCGAATCACCAAGATTGAAATCTTGCCTTCTACGGTATCGGAGGATGATGTAGATCAGACGCCTCAACCATTGAAGAACGGAGAGCAGGGTGTGATCGCCCAAACCTCCTTCACACGGCTGCGCAATCCCGTCGTGAGATACATCACTGGCGATGTTGGCTCCCTCCATGAACTGCCAGAAAAAGCGCGTGCCATCATCCCAGAATCCGATTGGAAGCATATGTATATCCTCCGCCTGCAGGGTCGTGATCGTCGCTTCAGCTTTGAGTGGAACGGTTGCTACTTTGAATTCCGTAACCTCGACACACTGATGAACGATGCGCAATTCGAAATCCTGCAGTGGCAGGTCATCCTGGACAAGGTGGAGCTTTCCAAGAACCGCCTCCTAGAGATGCGGGTCCTCGCTCCTCAGCAGGAGACGAATTCTGGACTCGACCGACGAGAATTGATTGAGAATCGCATTCGGGGCTTCTTTCAGGTAGATAGTACGCATGGGGATGCTTTTCGACTTGCCTTCGTCGATAGCATACATGAATTCGATCTCAGCACTGGTGGACGGAAAGTAGTCAAGTTCATCGACCGTTTCTCTTCATAGATCAAGTTTTAATTGTCGCTGTCTAGTTAATGTATCTAGAATTCGCATATACAAGCCATAATAACTCTTTGACTCCGTACTTATAAGATTTCAACTGGAGTCCGCATTGGCCAACGGCTCTTCATGGAAGGTCAAGATCATTTAAGTTCTAACCGACTGTTTGTCATCCTTATCCTTCTCTCTGCTATCTTTTGTTCATAAGGAAGGTGATTTAAGTTTCAGTTGGATTTCCATACTAAACAAAAGACTATCAAAGCGCGAGAATACGAAGCTGCAAGAGAAACTATCAAGTTCGTGCCATGTTATCAATTTGATTGCTTCCAAATATCGGGCTTCTCTCTTTCATCTAAAATTAGATATCAAATAGTAATGTTCATTTATCCCCACTACTTTGCGACATAATTCGAGTGGGCATAAACGTCATTAGTTTTGAGCTTCAAGGTTGCTGCGCCCGGAATCTTTGGCTCTTGAGTTCCTACTGTATGGTTGAGGGAGTTCTGTCATTGTGATAGATTCTGTAGGGAGCACTAAAAATGTATGACGACAACGCCAATGCAGGAGGCCCGACACTCGAGACTTCTTCTCAGTCCAGCATCGAATAGACTGTCCGCAAACACTCGCCGATTCATAGCCAACTCAAGGAGGTCTAAATTTGAAACTTCACATGCATCTAACCTTATCTGCAGTGACTGCTTCATAAGGGAGTTCGTCATACATATAACAGGTCTTCTCTGGTAAAAAGTACCTTCACATGACAACGCCACTCGCTGCAGGAGGCCCTCCGTCTGAAACTTCATCGGCCTAATGAGCGAGGGGGGAAATGATTTTCCACTGTACGGCTACTGGACACTGGACAGGTGGAATGAAATAATCCATATCAGTCGTCTATAAAACCATGAGTTTGCAGACAATTGCAAGTCAAGCCCTTCTCTCTTCATAACCATCTAAGCACACAATACAAACCTTCACAATTACAACAACCCAAGCAATCAACTCATCTTGAATCATGCCTCAGAATCAGATGACCAAGGAGGATTCCTCCCGAATCCAGTCAACCCAGGTTTGTCACCATGTCTTCTCCGGTCAAGCGCTTCGCTAACAAGTTGTGTTCTGCCAACAGGCTAAATCAGGAGGCGACATGGGCTTTGCCTCCCGTGCCCAATCTGCGGCTGATACAAGAGCGAACAACAACAATTCCGGTGGTGGTGGAGGACAGTCTAAGGGAGCCGATGCGTCCACCAAGAAGGGTTGATCCCAACAAACATACGGGGTTTAGTAGGATTCTGCTGGTCGAAATTGACAACTTAGAACGAAGTTAGCCTAGACAGAATTTGATTTTGCTCTCCCTTTTTTAAAAACGGTAGATCCCTTCTCGTGTTTTTTTAAATTGTGTGTCTGTACCCAGCCCTGAGCGCCAATTCTGCGGTAAATAATCTGTCCTTGCCGACTCGTCGCAGTTGGATTGACTTTTGAATTGTCGCACTGACATTCGTTCCCCAACGTGAACCAGCACACATATCTTCATTCAACGACTGTCATCGTCCTGCGCTTCTGTTTGTATACAAAAAGCCATTTGTTTACGTATTATATCTCGATGTTCCAATGTAGCCATCTCAGAAGCCACTTGTGCCCGCCAAGTGGTTGATATCCATGATCCTAATGCACCGGACCTGGCGTGTGCCATGAGCGATAAGCTAGGCGGTAAGATATTCTTGGCCAAGTCTCGCGTCGCGGCTGCAAAGGCTAATCGCACATATCTTTCTGTTATAGCCAGTGTCATTCAGACATTAGACGTCCTCATAGGAGAAACCAGCACTGAAGTCCCCAAACACCGACATGAATCAGTGGCACAAGCAGTCAATATCGTCAAAGATCTTCCGGTGGGCTCCAAACTAGAAGCATAACACAACCTAAGTGGCGGCATCATCGTTGGCGATCTAAAGATCGTCAAATACCTGCTAAAGGCGGACGAGTGCTCCCCTCCGGTGGCAGACGTCAATGAAAATACATCCTACTTTGGACGGCCTTTGGCTATTGCGGCAACATGCGGACACATCAAAAATGGACCGGACCTTGGAACCTGATTTGATTGTTTCTTAGTTGAAGATATGGTTCCTAACCGTCTGGCTGGTAGCTATACATAGAAAAGGCAAAATCAGTAGATTCGGCGATCGGGCGTCCAGCCCAGAACAACTTCGGAGGACCAATATCGGAACGGCACGATAAATATGCGGCATCAATGGAATGACGTTGACTGTTTCCCTATAAATACAGACATAAACTTTCCGCTAAAGCCTGTAAGCGTTAAAACGAGGGAAGATGTGCCCCTCCACACCCAGCTGAATAATCCTGTTCACCTAGCCAGGTTCCATGATCTCATACAACTTTTCAGTCTCATGCAAGAAAATGTGAGACAACAGTAGCACGGTATCTGGGCCTTATTGTAATGTGATAGAGGATCTCTGTATAGACAGAATGAAGT